ACTAACTGAATTCCACCATACTCTGCATCCCTGCACCACTACTGACTAGAAATTTTGCTATTCCTTTTCTGGTTTCCGGATGAACTGAGACCATCCTGGTCCCTACCAACCTATCAATATCTGGATTACCGACTCTCACCGATTGCTGACCCAACACAACCACTAGTCGCTCCCAGTGATATTCGAAGAAACTCCTGCCACCTATACTTCTCAATCTATTCTACCAGGCTGGCACTACAATATTCTGGGATCCTTGACCCCCCTATCTAGACACTAAGATCCTTACCAGGTCCCACCTGCACTGCTAAAACTCATGGGCCTCGCCCACGGGTCTCACCCAACCATACTATTGAGCAACCCTGCTCTCAAGCCTCACCTATACTGCTATCCTCATACGAGCCTCGCCCACGGGTCTCACCCGAATATATCCTAGAGCGGCCTCTTCCAAGGTCTCATCTCTCAATGGCTATACATGCAACTCCATACCATTCTCATCCATTCCCCATTCCCGATCCCTATCTGAATGCTAGGAGATAAGGGCCTCGCCCCGACTCTGCCAACGAAGCTACTACAAAATGCTACGGCTGCCCCGTAGTCTGACAACACTTCCACCACTGACTGCTAGTGAATGCTACGGCCGCCCCGTAGTCTTACATCACTTTCCACCACTGACTGCTAACACGAAAACATCTCCTGCTATTTGACCTCAAGATCTCCATTCCGACTCACATGAGTCCTACATGCGACCCTTTAACCTGAATCCGAACCACATACCCACCATTACCCTTTACACGCACGCACTGATGGGAAGTTCTCAAACTCCCAACCCTGAACTACTAAATCCGTCAAACGCTGAACTACCTCCTTTCCTTCTCAGAAATCATATACCCGATCTGGATTTGCGTGCCCTTACCCTTATACACTCGGAGGATTCTCCCCCACTTTGATCCTGCTTACACCTCGATGCTCGATGAAGAGAAATCCCAATCCTTGCTACCATAATCAATCCGCTGAGGAATCCCAAGCTTACCATAGCTAAGGGTCTAACCTGACCATTCTAAAACTTATACGACTCCGAACTAGCGAGACATACCGAGTCTCTCCAAGGCATGCTACAGTTACTGCACCCTAATTAACCTTCCTCGATACAACCCATCCCTTAATTACTAACCAATATACAAGGTATGCAGATGGCATAAAACTCGATCACAATGAACCCGATCGAAAATAAAATGCTCGACCAATAATGATGCAGAACCATAACAATATAATCATGCACAAAATAAAAGAACTGAAAACGGAAGTCGCATACTTGCAACGTCCTGCGCTGCTCACGTCTCCAAAGTAGCCATCTGAAAAGCCCTGCCTCCTACCGCAGGCGCCTCCGTACGGCCCTGACGGCCGTCTGTGATCCTCAAAGTTGCAGGGGCAGGTGCCATCACCCGTCCTGCTGAAAGCAAACTGGGGCACTGGGCCTTCTGGTGGCCCCGCTGATTGCAGTGAAAACATATCAAGTCTGATCCCTGAGTGATGGTAGCAATACTCTCTGCTAAAATGACCAGTCCGACCGCACCTGAAACAGCTAGACTCACCACCACTACCACTCCTGCACGCGCCCCCGTGCGTCCTGCCACACCTTCCGCATCGACTGTGGTCCTGATAATCCCTTGATCTCGACTCCGATCCCTTGGGCCTTTTTCCCGAACTCGCGACTACCTGAACCTCATCCGGCTTCCTCTTCCGGATCTGCTCCAAATCAATTTCCCTCTCCCTGGCCCGAGAAATCATATCTTCCAGCGTCTTACAACCGGACCTACTCACGAACTCCCTGATGTGATCCCTCAGCATCTCGTGATATCGTACCTTCTTCATCTCCTCATCCGCGACATACTGCGGAACAAGGAGGGCTCTCTCCCTGAACTTGGCGGTGATCTCCGCCACAGTCTCAGTAGTCTGCGTCAAATCCTGAAACTCCCGGGCCAACTGCTGCACCTCAATAATCGGCGAAAACTCCGCTCTGAACCTAGCTGAGAAATCACTCCAAGTCATCGCGTCCAACGCGGCGTCATTACCCAAAGCATGACCAATCTCTTCCCACCAATCCCTCGCTCTGTCCTTCAGAAGACAGTAAGCGAGTCTGACCTTGTCCTCCTCCGGACACCGGCTCGTACGGAATGCGTTGGCAACATCAGCCAACCATCTGCTGCTAGCGATGGGGTCCCTAGCCCCATGATAATCTGGTGCCCCGCAAGCCCTGAACTCCCGAAATGTCAAGGTACGCGCTCCCAGCAAGGCCATCATCTCAGTACGGAAGGCTCCCAACCTCTCATCCAAAATCTCCAATATACCCTCCTTGACCGTGCCAAAGATCACAGGAGTCTGAGCTAGAATACTGCGCGTCACCTCGGCTGATATCCACTCTCTCATCCACTCCTCGAGTTGCTCGGCCCCTAAACCCGAGCCCAATCCCTCTCCGGCACCTGATCCGCCCGCTGGTCCCTCTTGCAATGTCACCATACTGAAACATATAACATAACCATTATCAGAATACTCCTCACTGCCGCGAGACCAACATACTCACTACCAGTTTCCCGGTCTTGTCTCGGCCTTTCCCGAATCGAGTACGGATCCTCTGCCTTCAGTAGTACGAGACCATACTACCTTCCACATCTATCCGTACTTTCCTCAAGAACTGCTTTGACTCCACCAGGTCCCTTTTCTACTACTACTGCTCCCAGTACTACCTCATCCTAGGCTTACCCTAGGGAAACCTTTGACTCAACTCAAAGTTGTCTTTCCATTTTGAAAACTTCCTTACCAATTCCTCAGTTTGAGTTCAGACACACCCGAGAGCATTTCCGAATCCCTCAAACCAAGGCTCTGATACCAACTTGTAACGACCCAAAATTTAAGACCAAAAATTTCTTTTAATAAATCATTATTTAAAGTAAAGTCATCATTCCAAAACATAATATGAGTGTAAGTTTTCAAAACACATGTTCATTATCAGAGTAAACATTCCCAGGCTATCTAATCTATGGTGTGTGCCATGCGATCACCCCGAGCTCTTCCCTCCGCTACCGGAAGTACCTGAAACCAACCACTGAAAACCGTAAGCACGAAGCTTAGTGAGTTCCCCACCCTACCACATACCATGCATAACCACATACTGCACATACTGGGCCACACCCACTATCTTGGGCCTCGCCCGCTACAACGGCCCCGCCGCTCTAGGCCCCGCCTGGCTTCGAGCCTCGCTCGGATACAGATCTGTTTTACTTACGCCTCGCCTGTAACAGGGCCTCGCCCGCCAACAAATAATAACACATAAACATTTCACAACACATAACTAACACATGCAACTGGTTCTATCCTAAGGCATCGCCTATCCTAGGCCTCGCCCATGTCCTGCTACTGATGAGTCATGGGACCCCGTCCACGCTCCTAATGGTAGTGAGGTACGGGCCTAGCCCACTCTCACTCCTGTTCTAGTTTGGGCCTCGCCCATATTCTGCTACTAATGAGATATGGAACCCCATCCACACTCTGCTATTGGTGAGATACGGGACCTCGCCCACACTCACCTCCCTACCAGGCACATACATGTATCACACAGACAACAAGTATAAACTATCATATAAACAATTCCTTGGGCACCTGCCCGCTATTACTGGACCTCGTCTTGAAAATAATACTAGCATACTGTGCCTAGGGCTAACCCCCGGGTCTTCTACTCATAACTACATGGGGCGGCATTATGGCCTTAGACCCATTCACACAAAGGGAAAACTCACTTGCACTAGCTGAACTTGCTGATGATCTCACTAGCTGCTGTCCGACAACTCACGGAACTTCTGCTCCCCTTGCTCCCCGAACTACCAATATCAATGCAACACTGAGTCTAACTGACCCCCGAAAGACAACCAAGTCAGCCCTGGTCCAAGGTCAAAGTCAACCTTCCAGGTCAACCCTACTCGCCGAGTCACCCTACTGACTCGTCGAGTTCAAAATGACCAGATTCCTTCCATTCGCGACTCGACTCGCCGAGTCTACCGATTTCTGAGTCCAGACCTGTCCAACTCACTGAGTCTCCACCCGAATCACTGATTCGAGTCTCAACTCGAAGGGTTTGGGGTTTCGCGACCTGACTCGTCGAGTCCAAGAACAGACTCGCCGAGTACAAGGCAATCTTCATACGACTCGACGAGTTGTTCATCCCACTCGTCGAGTTTCTCCACAACTTCATGCTACTCGCCGAGTCCACTCAAAGGACTCGCCGAGTCCCTTCAGATCTCCTTACATGCAGAGGATATTTGAGTCATGCATGAACTCCAAACTGTAGATCCACCCTTCCCAAGCCTTTTCCCCACGTAAAGTTGCAAACTTTACGTGTAGAGAAGGAGATCTAGGCAAAATATGCTATAAACTAGGGCTTAAGGCAAAAAGGCTCCATGATCCACTCAAGGGCTGATACTTTACGAAATTCTAGACCAAAATAAGCATGGATCTGAGGTAGCAACCTCAGATCTGAACCTCTAGCTCAAAGGTTACTCTTAAGCCAAGAATGCCCAAAACACACACAAAGATCTATGTGCAAATGAGGGGAGATAGCAGCTTGTTACCTCCAAGATGAACACCACTGAAGTAGATCTCGGATCTACACCTCCTCCTTGAAGCAACCTACTTGCCCTTCAAGTTCCTTTCCCCAAAGTTCCTTCCTCCAAGCTTTAACTCTCAAAATGATGGAAGCTCTCACGAAATCAAGGGTGCACTGGCTCTCTAGGGTGATATGGGGGCTGAGGGAGGGACATAACACCCTTTAAATAGGATACAACTCCCGGGATTAGGGTTTTCCTCGTTCAGACCAGACTCGCCGAGTCACCTTGGCCGACTCGCCGAGTCGGTCGCTTACTCCTCGACCTGGATCCCGCTCGGACTCGCCGAGTCTACCCTTAAATTAGGGCTTTTCTTTCATTTCTTGGCCTTCGAAACTTTGGGTGTTACATCATAACTACATATTTGTATAGCAGGTAAAGTGGAACCAATTCAAGTGGATCCAGTTCAAGTAGATCTAGTGGATCCAGTTCAAGTACCAGCTCCACATGTTGAACCAGTTCAAGCAGATTCAATGGATCTAGTTCAAGTACTAGCTCCACATGTTGAACCAGTTCAAGCAGATCCAGTGGATCCACTGGACACAATCCAATGGTGTTGGAATGATTTTATGTTTTAATTTTTTTGGAAAGACAAACTTTTGTCTTGTAATTATGTAATTGGGAAAACTTTAAGAATCATGGCACATGGCACATCTTTTGACATATTAGGACAACTGTGGGCACAACTTTTGTAATAGTGCACATGTTGATGGAATATTACAACTTTGTCTTTTATCTATATGCTTTGGTGTACGGTTATTTGCATATAGATTGTTTAATCTTATATTATCTATCATGAATCAAGTAGATTTAGTATTAATACATTAAGCAATGTTTGATGTTGCTGTTGTTGTTAATCTGGACCATTTTACCCTTGGATCACATCAACACATTAACAATTGATTAGTGCCAAATTTAATCTGGACCATTTTACCCTTGGATCACATCAAGACATTAACAATTGATTACTGCCAAATTTAATCTGGACCATTTTACCCTTGGATCACATTAAGACATTAACAATTGATTAATGCCAAGATTTAGTGTTAATACATTAACAAATGTTTGATGTATCCAATGTGGTTAATTTGGACCATTTTACCCTTGGATCACATCAAGACATTAACAATTGATTAATGCCAATATTTAGTCTTAATACATTAAGAAATGTTTGATGTATCCAATGTGGTTAATCTGGACCATTTTACCCTTGGATCACATCAAGACATTAACAATTAATTACAGCCAACTTTAATATGGACCATTTTACCCATGCATCATATCCAATTCACTAACCTGTTAAACACATTAATACTTCTTGGAAAGCACTCAAAACATCAAACTATCATTAATTAAAAAGATTTAGTCTTAATACATCAAACAAATTACAACATTAAGGATTACATTTAGTCTTTGAATACAGCTAAACTAACTACTTCTTAAACACAAACAACAGAAACAACACAATCATCACAACTTTATGAGTAAATAACTTCCATTTGAGTTTTTCAAACTCTTGTCTAACAACCAAGTTTTTTTTTGTTCCATCTTCATCTTACAAATGCTGATCTCGTTTTCTAATATAGAAACTTTGAGGGTTAAATTGCACAGTTCTTTTTCGTCCTTCCCATAATTGACTTCATTTTCAGGGGTTTCAGGCTCCAACCATTCCCAGAACTTGCATTTTGGTCCTTCATTCTTGAAAAAAGTAACAAATTGGTTAAAGAAAGAAGATTAAACAAAAAGTAAAAAAACATTTGCTTTACCATGGAGTTAGGGCATAATCTGATTTTTTTTCCTGGATTGTCTTTAGTTCGTGAAGTTCGTACACGAGATGGTAACCCACAGTAACAAGGATTTTTAGGTTGAAATTCAGCATTTTGTTTGGAAGAAATAGAAGAAGAAGAAGCATCCATGTTGATCTAGAGCAAGAACGATGTAGTACTGCAACTTTGCAATTAATAAGCCCAGTTTATGGCACATAATGCCACATAATATCTACATAAGTAGTAACCTACAACAACCGGTATCGAGGGTTTTGGTGAGCAAGATTATTAAGTTCAATGGTATAATAAAGACAAAAAAAAAGATAAGGGACCAAATAAATACTTATAAAACACTTTATTACCTTCAAAGATCATTTTCCCAATAACATTCTTACCTTACTGTATTGTACTTAAAAAGTATAGAAGATAACGACAAGTATTTGAATATATAGACCAAATTGAAAAAAAATACGGTATTCTTGAAGGGGCAACATGCAAATAAGAAGATCTGATCAGCTACACTACAGCCTAGCAAATCAATCTAACGGCTCAGATTCACTTGATGACAAAATACTTCCATTTCTCTCAAATCCTATTGGTTCGATACACGCACTTTCTATGATCAACCGGTTTGATAGATCCAACGGCTCACATTCCACTGATACACATACACACACAGGTGGTATATAACTATACCAAAAAAGACCTAAAATTCAAAATTGTGCCACATTTGATTTCGCTTCTGCTTTTCTTGTTCTTCTAGGAAGTTTTAGTTGTTGAATCGATCTCATTTGGGTGTAATTGATTAGTGAACTTGGTTGTTGTTCGTAATTTTTGAAAAATCGAAGCTCATAGATTTTGTAGAGAATAGCAATCATGTTTTTGGTGGATTGGTTCTATGGAGTTCTGGCGTCGCTAGGTCTATGGCAGAAGGAGGCTAAGATCTTGTTTCTAGGGCTCGATAATGCCGGCAAAACCACTTTGCTTCATATGTTGAAAGATGAGGTTAGTTCATTTGATCATCGTGTTGTTATAGAAAATTTCGATATATGATTGATACTTTGCATAACATTTTCTGCAATAATGTCTGAAAAAACCACTTCCTTCAATCTAAAAACCGATTTGTGTGGCGTTAATCGTTTCAGAGACTTGTTCAGCATCAACCAACACAATATCCGACATCTGAAGAGCTGAGTATTGGTACAATTAAGTTCAAAGCCTTTGATTTGGGAGGGCATCAGATCGCTCGAAGAGTTTGGAAGGATTATTATGCCAAGGTATGATTCGATTGAATCTGTATTTGATGCTGTAGTTGAATATACATCGTGTTCTTCTATACAACAAGGATTTAATGATGATGAATTGTAGTTAATTGTGTTCTTGTTTTTTTTAATGAAGGTGGATGCGGTTGTTTACTTGGTGGATGCATATGATAGAGAACGATTTGCGGAATCAAAGAAAGAACTGGATGCACTTTTATCAGACGAATCATTGGCAAATGTACCTTTCTTGATTTTGGGCAACAAGATCGACCTGAATTATGCTGCATCTGAAGAAGAATTGCGTTTCCATTTGGGTTTGACCGGGTTGACCACCGGGAAAGGTAAGGTGAATCTTGAAAATTCGGGTGTTAGGCCAATGGAGGTGTTTATGTGTAGCATTGCGAGGAAGATGGGGTATGGAGATGGGTTTAAGTGGGTGTCTCAGTATATCAAGTAGGAAAAAAGATCGAAAAATATGAGTTGTTAACTAGACAAGTTTATAATATATCTTTTTTTTTTTTTTAAATATCGTTTTGGAAATTTTTTTTTTTGTGGTTTTGGAATTTTGTTGGAGTTATTTTGTTTTGAAAATGGCATGTTTTATGTTCTTTTTATTTTTTTTGGCAAATGATGTTTTTAGAAAAAAAAAACACAATCTTGTCATATTATATCAAGTTTTGGTTTTAGGTCATCCCAAACATATTATAAAGTTGTATTAAGTTTAAGAATAAATTGGCTAGATGAGTAATGATGATTATATGTTTCATTTTCATTTTCGTTTTGTTTGTTGTTTTTTCTTAAGTGAATAAAATAATGAATGACAATTTTATCCTTGAGTAAATTACGCAAATGGTCCATGTGGTCCGGGATAATCTGTATGTTTGGTACCTAATTTTTTTTCTTAATTCGGACGGTCAATTACATGTAAAGTTGTTGCGTATTGGGTCCTTATCAGACATAAAATTACAATATTACTTTTATTATTATCCATTATTATAATTATAATATAAGAGAAAATAAAATAAAAATTCATATGAAACTACTTTATCCCTCATGATCCTCTCTCTCGATCTCTATCTCTCACCTTGATCTCATCATCGTTCTACAAAGAACTCCTTCAACAACTCGTCTGTTGAAACACCACCAACGTTGTTGATAAAATCACTGTCTCCTTCACGTTTCTCTCTCTCAATCTCTATCTCATATCAGTCGATGGTTGTCAGTGTTCAAATTCTCATTGAGCTCTAAATCAAGAAACTTTATAGTCGACAACTCTTTTGGTGAAGATAAGTCATCGTTACTCTTCCTCTTCAAATCTCCTCACGATCTATTGTTAATGGTGAAGGTCAACAAAGCACACTCTTGATGGTGTATATCGATGACTTGCATCCCCCAATACTCTCATCCCTCCCCTAGCACTTGCAGACGAAATCTGTTACTTCGTCTTCTCCAATTGAATCGAATTAGTAGTGAGTTCATCTCCCTTCTCTAGCAGCAAACTGTCGATATCGACAAACATTTGGGTTTGCCGTGGATTCGTTTTTTTATTAGGTTTTGAAGCAAGAAATTGATTTCTTGATAGAGGGTTGCTTTAGTTTGGATTTATAAACGTCTGGGCATTGAAGAAAGAAAAGTGAGTTTTGAATTTAAAAGGAAAAATTTTGAGTTTTGTATTCGATTGTATTTCTTTATCGGAAAAGATGAAAGGGTTGTCTGTCAGAGTAGTTGAACATGAATGGAAGAAGATGAGGGGAGGGTTGGGTTGAAATGATGAATGTGATGGTGATTTTTAATTTCATTTAGCGAGATCCTATTTATTAAAAAAAATAAATAAATAAACAATAATTAATCTTATTAGAAAATAAAATATAAACAATAAATAAAAAAACAATGAAGGGTAATATAGTCATTTAAGGTCGAGTAGGAACCAAGCATATAACAAAAATGCATTTTAAGAACCGTCCGAGTTTAAAAAAAATAGGAACTAAACGAACAAATTACCTCAAACCATAAGAACTATCCGTATAATTTACTCTTTATCCTTGTATTTGAAAAAAAAACAAATTTCATAATATTCATCTATTTTAATAATATTACGAATGTGAGAGACTGATGTTGAAAGAAAAAAAAAAAAAGACAAACTGTGAATGTGTTAGCATCTAAATACATTAAGTCATGGTATTGAGTAATTTTGAATAGATTAAGTAAAATAAATAAATAATCATACATAGTTGTTTAGCTGTGCGTACTAATTCTTTATTCCATTAAATTCATGAAGTTACAAACAAACACACTTCTCATATCTATTTTTGATTAATTAATTAAAATAAATAAGAAAACTTATAAAAAATATAAACTATTAAATTCAAAAAAAGTCTTATTAAAAAAAAGACAACTAAATAGATAATATTAAAAATATGAAAAACTTTTCTTCTTTTTTTTTTTTTTTTTTTTTTATCTTTATAAAAAAAATCGTAGTGTAAACATTTGTAATATGTTACACTGAGTTCTAATGGAAGGTTGTTTGTTTCTGCATCCTTAAATTCCTTCTTGATCGAATTAGATGAGGGAGACAATTTTGGTGGTGTATGGAGTGAAGTTATAAAGGGAATAAGGGATTAATTAATGGCCATTAACTGTTTATATAACGCATAATAATCCAATTTCCAAATACAATTTTTATGTTTTTAAATTTGTTCCGAAAATGTACATAAGAATATTGGAGTGGTTTAGAATATCAATCTATTCAAACTGAAGCATATAAATGTAACTGATCAACTTAATGGTTTTTTTCTTTTATCTATTTTAGATATTATGACTTATTAATTATAACAACATTGGGGATGTAGCTCAGATGGTAGAGCGCTCGCTTAGCATGCGAGAGGTACGGGGATCGATACCCCGCATCTCCATTTTTTTTTATTTTACAATAATGGTCCTTCACCTTCCAAAAGTTTACCATTTAAAAAAAAACTCGGGCATTATGTCGGAATTAATTATTAATTATTAATTATTAATTCAAAACTGTTAATCCATTTCTTTAATTTTGGGCTTGATGTTGCAAAAGATCAATTAGCTAACTTTCCAGATTTATTATTGAAAGTAAGTTATTGTTTATATTTGAAAATAACAACTGCTATATATCAAACTAAGGAAGTTAAGAAGGTATAACACAATTCATTAATAGAAATTTGCTTGTATTAAACTTTTATATAGATTTTCTTTTACCAATTCATTTTGTTATACTAATTAATTATTCATGTTAATATCTATTATACTATTAAAAATAATATTTGATAAATATTGGGAGTGATTTGGTGAGACTTTGTAATATTCCTGCATGAAAATTTCATTAATAAAGAATAAAACAATATTTAATAAAGACGATTATCCATGGAAAATCCAATCTTCAAGTTCAATATTCAATTGCAAGAATTTCTGAAAAACCTTATCATGCAAGAAGTTGACTTCGTTCGTTTATTCATCTGCATGCAGTCGGAGCCTCTTTTGCCCACCACCGCCGGGCGGCCTCTCCGATCAGTTACTTTCCACGGTGGTAAAAACTTCATCAAATCAAGTATCTCATCATTCTGATTCTCCCCATCATCATCATTGAAACCCTTTTCGTCGTTAAACTTCAAATCTTCATCTAACGTATCAAAGTTTGATAACATGGTCGGAAGAAGTGAACGGCAGACAATCACGATGGATTTCAAGGGCTCCGGTGGTAAAATATCAAGCCAATCGGAATCAGTGTGAAGGAGCATATGATGATACAGGAATTTCATCGATGAGAAATTGACTCCGCACATGTAACAATTTGGGTTACCATCGTCGTCTGCACACGGCAAATAGTATCGATGTTTCATTGTTTCTCTTCCATATTCAAGTTAACTGTAATCTGCGAAATCAAGAAGCGAAGAAGATCAGATTCATTTGAATTGAAATTAGATTAGATACTTGTTAATTAACTTGAAATTTATCAAAGTACGATAAGATCGATCGGTTGTTGAGAAAGAGAACTTACACACCAAATCGGAAACACAGTTTCTCTATATCTCCGGCGATAAAATCGGTGTTCTCCGGCAACGTTATGTTTATGGATTGCTGTGAAAAATCTAGCGGAAGAATTGGGTGTTTAACTGTTTATATGATACATTAGGGAGGTTTAGGGTTTCGTTGGTTTCTTGATTTCTATTTATATGTTTAATTTGGAAGGAAATCTTATTAAAGGATCCTCACACAATTAACGGTAATTGATATTCCCAATTAATATTTTTAGGAGTGGTTTAATTAATCAAAGGAAGTAACTAAACCCTTACAATTAATGCAACCAGATTAAAATTTACATGGTTTAACTAATAGTATTTTTTAATTTTTATTTTTATTATTATTTTTTTTTATTTAAATGAAGTTTAGAGCATTTGAATGTATTTGGATAGTTTTTAGTCGGCTAATTTTCTTAGTTTTAATTTAGTTTTTATGTTTATATGTATAACATGTTTAGGATAATCATAGATCACAACAACATTGATTAGAGCCGGTTCAACCCACTTATTAAATGGTTTCAATATCTCAACCCAACTCAATCCGACCAACCTATTTACTAAAGCTGTGTTTGATGCGCTATAGCTAGCTGATAATCTGATTTATTTTTTGAGATTTTTAATATTGTCATGTTTGGGAAGCAAGAAAATGACTTACAAGCTAGTTTTTTAAAAAGCTAGTTATGTTATGTTTGACATGATAGTTGAAAAGCTAGCTGATAAAAAACGATATTTGGTAAAAACTAGTTGATAACCTAGTTGAAATATATAAAATGACATAAAATGTAGCATCCAGGCTTTTGTAAGTTCCTTTTAAGCCCCTAATATAAAAATCCCTTTCATTTTAGTCCCTTGGTTAGTATGCTTAGCGTACTGGCCACAGATTGGTCGCGGACCTTGACCACGTACGCTGGGCGTACGTGGAGTACGCATGACGTACTAACACTGGAACAAACCCTAGTTTTTAGGGTTTGCATCCTATTTGAGGACCTTAAGTCCCCCAAGTCCCTTACCTCTTTAGCCTCCATTATCCTTGAAGTGTAAATCTCGAACCCTATGCCACCTTATTGCATTTGTAAGCTTCTTGAGTGATTTTCGGTGTTCTTTAGAGCCTTTGGAGAAGAAGAAAGCTTGAGAAAAAGCAAGGACGTGGGAAGTGTTGGAGTAGGTGTCTAATCCCATAATTATACTTGATATGTACTTGGATTGATAGTGGCACAATCCTTTTGGGTTGCCCTCATACTAGCAACTGGACATGATGAATTTGGAGAAAGAGGTTGAATTTATTATTTGAATAATAAATTAAGATAATTGATTTATTAATATGTTATGAAAATAATATATTAGTTGGAAATCATATTATTTAATTAATAGTTAATCAGAAATTAATTGGAATTAATTGTATTAATTAAAAGTACATGGGCTATTTGACAGTTTATTGATAGTTGAGAAATTGGGCTCTTAGACCTCCTTAGAAGGGCTGAAAGAAAACTTCTAGTAAGGCCCTAGAATTTTCGTCCAAAGGCCTTAGATGGGAAGTTCATGGACTTCTTAGTCCTTAAGCTAAGGAATTAGGGGTTCCTCCTTAAAACCCTAGCTTTGGCTCAAGCTACCTCAACTATATAAAGGGTTGTACCCCTTCATAATTTTGGACACTCTAAACCCTAGAAGAATACCCGAATTTCTCAAGTCTCCTCCTCCTCTCTCTCCTCTCTCATCCTCTTGCTTAGTTTGGGTGTGAGCCATTAGAGGTGTTACACTTGTGACACTTGCTCTTAAGCTTCAAGAACTCTTGGATTCACATTGTTATTACTACATAACAAGCAAATGTATGTTTACTATCTTTTGTTATATATTTCGAAAATAGTATATGCCTTTTATGGTTTCCCAATTGATGTTCAAATGTTGTATGTTCAATTAGAGAAAACATAAATCAGGAAATTAGGGTTGCATGCACATACATATTTTTTTGTTTGTTATTCACAAAACCCATCAGGAAGAGCTTGAAGATCCAGAAGTTTGGCACTATTTCTGACCTATCGAAGGTATAAAGCTTAAACCTTGACCATTGCATGCTTAGATATAGTTTCAGGGTGGAAAATGTTGTGAGAACTTACCCAATCCGATCCCAACTCATTTCGTTCCATTTAGTCAACTCGGTCACAGACAACTCACTCATCAGGGCAACCTAATCGCTCCAACTCGTGAACCCTATTTGGTCACTTCGTGAGCACAACAGGATAACTCAATCATGAGAATCATCTTGGTCACATTATGACACCCTCAATGTCACATGGTGACTTCAGTTTGAAACCTCCCTTTAGTGATTTGAGTCCTTAATCTAATAAGTCTCTAACTCTAACTTTTCCAAAAGCTTAAGGGGACTCCAAAGGTCCATAAAAATGATTACTCTATGGAAATGCATGCTTCATGCATGTCCTCAATCTATTCTAGGTGAAAAGTGAAGAAATAACACCAAAACTCACATGCATGGATCCAATACTCAACCAACTCCAAGATTTGAACCTTATGATACTCAAGGGACCCTTAGAATCCATAAAGTTGCCAAATTTATGAATCCTTTCCATTCAAGATTGCTCAATCATGAAGAAAATAGGACAAAAACCTAGATTTAGCAACACTAAGCGATAAAGTTTGGATCTTGGACACTTATAAATGTCCATAATAATCACAAGATGATGATGATGATGTTTCCTTGCTAGATCTACAACTAGAGCACCTCCTTCTCTTTCTTCTTCTCTTTCCTCAAGCTACCAAATACACCAAAAGGCCACGAACCACCAAGAGGATTAGGTTTAGGGTTTTCTGAGGTTTGAGGGTGATGGAGGTTGATAATAAACCCTACATTCGAGATTACGGGGTTTAAATACGAATGAAACCTTAAAAGATCATGAGCTTTAGCTGAATCCTCCATCAAGTCGTGACCACCTATGTGTCACTTCGTGATTACTGATATGATACGCTTTATTCACTTTATGTAACATCTTGTTTTAAGGCACTTTCACTTTTGACCCTTATATTGAGATTTATCACATTTTGGTCCTTAAAAATGTAAGATTTATGGCTAGGAGGGGCTAATAGTGCCATTTTTGGAATTTTGGGGGTAGAGCCACGTATGTTGGGCATATGTTTTCGTACGTAGGGCGTACAGGGTGAAGTCCCAAACCCTAATATTTAGGGTTTGGACCCTATTTATTCTTCATTAACTCTCAAACTTGGTTCTTTTCATCAGCCTCCATCATCTCAAAACGTTTTTTCAAACCCTAATCTACCTTGTGAGCATTTTTGAGCATGTGTGTGTGTGTGTGTGTTATACCTTTAAAGAAGGAAGAAGGAAGTAGAGACCAGCTTGGAGGAGTGAAGAACCTTAGATCCAGAATCACACCATCATTTGACATCGCTTAGCGGTATAAAGTTCTAAACATGGTGAAGTTATACTTAGATGTTGTTTTGGGCTTGATTTTTATGTTCTTTTGGTCACATAATCTTGATATTATGAGTGGGGGTTACTTCAATCCATTTGAGTTGTCCTTTCAGAGGTTTTAGAGCCTCTTGTGTAACACCCTGATTCTTGAGTATCAATTTATGTTTATAAATTCTTATGAGTTCAAGGTCTACTCGACGAGTTGGTTGCCTGAATCGTCAAGTAGCAGCGGGTTAGTCTATGTGTTTAAGTGACCTACTCATCGAGTCCAAGAAGGGACTCGACGAGTAGGAGCTGAAGGATGAAACCCTAATTTTCGGGTTTTTGCACCCTATTTAAGGGATCATTGGCCTCCTCAGCCCCCCCCCCCCTACAGCCTCTTGATAGTTCATAAACCCTAATCCGTGTATGTGCATCAGTCTTGTGTGTTTTAAGCTTTGGAAGGAGGATCTTTATAAGGAGAGCTTGGAGAGCAAGTGGCTAGAAGCAAGGAACATGTGGGGATCATATATCTACCTTAGTTGGCATCTTTTGGAAGGTATCAAGTCGTTACCTTGACCTTATTTCATTCTAGATCTCATTTGGTTAAAGATTTGGGCTTTTCTAGCACATAATAAAGCTATTCTTGGGCATGAGATTAGACGTGAAGTTATAACTTCAGATCTGAACTTTCTTTGGTCTCTAAGTCCATAAAGCTATCAGATTTGGCAAGTATGAACCCATCCTTAAGTGTAAAACTCCACTGCAAGCTTGGTTTTGGCATTATAAGACTTTAGAGCCTTGCATGCACTTAAAGTTTGCAACTTTACGTGATAAACATGCCTTGGGAAGCTGGATCTGCAATATGGAACCTTAAGATGGCTTAAAAAGCATCTGAATGGATAATGGACTGAAGGGACTCGACAAGTTGCATGGTCAACTCGGCGAGTCCGATGAAGATTGTCGTGGACTCGGCGATTCAGTTAGGGTTTTCCCGGTTTTTGGCACGCATGAACTTGGCGAGTTGCAAGGGAAACTCGACGAGTTAGCCAAGGAGTTTTCAGCCACAAACATTAGGAACTTGACGAGCCACTCAAGTGGCTCGGCGAGTTGAAGAGTTATTCAATGAACTCGATGAGTGGATAGTTGTACTCGACGAGTTGAGATCAACATGGATTGTTGACCTTGACCATTGACTTGGTCTTTGACAATGGGTTGACTAGTTGACTTCTGGGGACATTTTGGGAAATTGGAAATATATGGATATGGTTTTATAGTGAATATAGGTGGTGGAGTTGTGACAGTGATCCGAGAGTGGAGCTTATCACTTCAGCACGTCAGTTGTGAGGTGAGTTATCCTCACTATATTAACAACGTCTAAGGCACCAAGGCCAGCCCG